TGATTTATACGTGGAGAATGGCACCGCTCACAAACTCCCAACGCGAAGCTTTGACTTATTGGTTCACACAGTTACTTCTGGATCCAACAAACAACGCTGTGATTTCTATAGACTGGTTTACAACAGAGAAGGTACTTTATCTCCGCTTCGACTGGCCTGAGCACACCCTTATCGACTGAGCGATGAGCGGGGCATGAACTGGTCTCTAGCGGTATTTTATGAGGCTTTATATACTGTTCAGAGAGAAAATGATGAGGTAAAGAGAAATGAGTAAAACAGGCCAATGTTCTGGTCATGCGAGCGCCTCCGGAAGACGAGCCGGGTCCATTCGTGGTCTAGGCTTGCCTAGCTAGCCAACTATCTGACCATCTCAACAGCCAAGCCTGGTATAATTGCCTTTCTCAGCGTGCTAGTCTGCACCCGAGCAACTCTCCATGTGCAACTCCACTCCGGAACTACTATTCCCGGTGCAGCTTGCTCATAATCACGCCATTCCACCCCGCTATCTTGCGGACTGAACATCCTAGCGTTCATCCACTGCTCCATCTTAACATGAATTCACTCTTTCTGCTATTTTCCTACTCTGCGCTAGCTCCAACCAAAGCTCCGTCTGTGCAGTCGTTGGTCCTCGTTCATAGAATCCTTGACACTCTGAGGTACTAGACCTGTATGTTTATCTCCTTGATGCGTGTATTCGCCTAGTGTAACGCTTGTAAACCGCGCCTAGCACTATAACTCGTACTACAGCCAGCAGCCGGAGCTCACTCTGACTCTCCTTTGTACCACCGAACAGAGTTCCCATTGCTAGTTTGTAGCCCTGAGAAGCTAGTAATGTGCCTAATAGAAGCTAGCAGACTTCGTCATTCGCTAGCTCTAAAAAGCGCAAAATGTAGCTAGATGGCAGCACATTGCGAACGCGCCGTTTCAGCGGCGCCGCGCTCAATTACGGGAATCTGAAGGACTCCGGGAGCAGCAGCAGGCCAAGGACTGCGAGAACCATGCTCGCTATCGTCAGGCCCATCGCCGGTGTTTGCAGATCAAGGCCACCATGCGCCGAACCAAGTGCGTCGCCCACTTACTTCCCTTCCACCAATGTGATTTACAGAAAATTCAGGGATTCCATTGAAAAACAGGGTTACCGCACCTGGCACGAGCGCCATAAGGCGCAACCCGGCCTCGTGCACCCCGATGAATATCCGCAACCTGATGAACTCCCGCCTTCGGATCCCGAGTCTGACAGTGACGACGACTCGGACGACCGCCAATCCCTTCCCATCGCATCCGACTCCGACTAGTCGAAGATAGTAAATTCTGTAAATTATCATCGAATAATTTACATGTTGTATGTAGCCATCTTGAATGCATCCATCTCGAATATCGATTCAGACGAAAATGGGAATCAGACGAAACAAAATTTTGTTAAGCTATGTACATTTTTTTGGCTACATGAGTATTTTGAATGGAAAGGGCGGCAGGCTCAGTAGCGGTTGTTGTCGTGGATGGCACTGTGAGCATAGGTAAGCTTGGAGGGAATAAAATAAAGCAAGGACTGAGGGGCTTACCGGCGCCTCTGGGCGGCATGCCTGACAATAGGGGAAGTCAAAGCGGTCAAAACGACCGATTCTGGAACCGATTCTGATGCCGATTCTGGAGCCGATTCTAAGGCTTGAATCGGTGTCAGAATCGATCAAAAGCCAGAATCGGCGAGAATCGGTGTTGCTACTCCAGAGTAGCAACTCAGGAGAATCGGCTTCTGAATCGACTCGAGGATCGGCTCGAATAAGTCAAATATATATAAATTACATAATCACATTTTCATCTTCTACCTACGTGCACGATATGCCGCCCCACGCCAACCCCAAGCTTAGCAAGAAAGCCAGCAAAGACCAGACTGAATCCCTAGCTCCTCGCAAGAGGAAACAGACTCCAAAAGCCAAGGCCGAGTCAAAAAGGCTGCAGAAAAAGAAAAAGAAAATGGACGACTCGGACGACGACAGCAGCGAAGACAGTGCCGATGAGACTTCTAGCAAGACAGTCTTACATGTCAAGTAAGGCAATTATAAGCTACATGGTAGTTTGAACTCACCTCGGGCCTAGCTGGAAACGCAGTCCGGAGCTCAGTGAGAAACTCGTCGCCCTCATCTTCGCAAATGGCTCGATCAAGAGATCTCTTTTCCCACCTTGCGGCCCCAACGCGTCGACTAAAGATGGGGGTGGGATGTCCAAGGCTGTTGCGCAGTGGGAGCTCTGCGTGTTTCTACTTGGTGAGCTGCCCAAGTACAAAGCATCTATCGAGGCCGCCGCAAAAGTACCAAAGGACAAGCTGGCCTACGGAAACAAGATTAAGAACAGAATGACTACGTATGAACTTCTCACCTTGGAGTTATTCTATCGTCAATATTGACCAGCGCTTGATAGAATGGCTACGATTGCACGTCAGTACAATAACGACATGGGGCAGACAGGGGCCGGCATCGAGACCGCCGCCGACATCGACATGGACCAGAACAATGCATTCACGACGAAGTGGGGTATGTGTTTACTTGCATACACGGCCCCCGTCGTCTAATCTGCACACGAAACACAGCGGCTATTCAAGATGAGTGCCCCTGGTACTTCGACATGCGCAACCTCATCGGGCAGCGTCCCAACCTTGTCCCGACCGGTGTCGGGAACAGCAACACGGCGGTAGCACCCGGAGTCATCATACCGACCCCCACCGCTGTCGATAACGCTGCCAGTGAGGACGAAATCGTGGTTGAGGGGGACGACGCAGAGGACGAGGACGACACCGCCAGTGTCCCCATCGAGTGGGAACTTACCCCAGCCCGCTCGCCGGAGCCCCGCGGCCACAAACGTGCCTTTGACGACGACGATGAAGAGGCGCAGGCGGGAAGCGAGGATAACTACCAGCCCATGTCGCCCGTCACATCCGAGTCCGCGCTCATGCTCGTTGGCGACGATGAAGAGGAGGACAATGGAGGGAAGAAACAGGGCACGGGGAAGGAGGACAATGACGAGGAGGTGGAGGTGCAGGGGAAAAAACAGAAGAAGAAAGGGACGACACACCGAAAGAATCCTGCCAAACCCAGCACCTCCACACCTGCAGCACCCGCACCATCCGCCGCACCCAAGGCATCCAAAAAGACGAAGATAGCGGAGTTCAGCGAGATCGCGAAGAACGAGGAGAGGACTCGGCAGAAGGAGATTGAATTGGCGACTTTGCGGACGCGCCAACAGATGAAACAGCTTGAGGTGAAGGGTCGAATTGTCGAGATGAGGGAGGAAAGACGTCGGGCGAAGGAGGACGCGAAGCGCGAGGAGAGGATGATGAAGTTGGAGATGAAGAAGGCGAAGATGAAGTACACCCACGAGCTCCGGATGGCTGCGACGGGGACGGGCAGAATGTCATCGTCCGCCTCCCACGCTGACACCTCGTTTGACACCCATTCTCGCGCCTCGGGTTCCCACTACTCGTCCTCCGAGCACGCGTTCGATGGCTTCAGCGGAAATGCGATGGCTGGCCCTTCGACAGGCGGTGACGACAACGGCTTTGACTACTCGACAATGGACTTCTCTCTCAGTTCCACCCAGGACGGCGCCAGCTCTGGCTTTTAGACTTGGACATATATATATATACCCCACGCTCTGGCATACGTACGTACACTCCCTCCACTTACTGGCTCACTGTCGCTACATCCGTACTTATTTCTCTTTCACGACCGATGGAATTCCACTCTTTTACGTACCCTACTCGCTATCTCTACCCAGCTCCTCCACCTGTCCTTCCCAACTAACAAAGGCAATTAGCATAACCTTGTACCCCCTAAGGTTATGCTAACTGCCTACAGGTTGGCCCATGTACACCTCTATAGGGACTCCGGTGCCTTAAAAGGGGACGAAAGGGGGACAAAAGAGGTACTTTTTACCCTTTTAAGACCACTGAGCGTGGAGGTGGTGTACTTTGGCGGTGTATAGGGGACACCATGAGGGTAAAGGGGGACATTTTACCCTTTTGAGAACACTGAGCGTGGAGGTGGTGTACTTTGGCGGTGTATAGGGGACACCATGGGGGTAAAGGGGGACATTTTACCCTCTTGAGAACACTGAGCGTGGAGGTGGTGTACTTTGGCGGTGTATAGGGGACACCATGGGGTAAAGGGGGACATTTTACCCTTTTGAGAACACTGAGCGTGGAGGTGGTGTACTTTGGTGGTGTATAGGGGACACCATGGGGGTAAAGGGGGACATTTTACCCTTTTGAGAACACTGAGCGTGGAGGTGGTGTACCTGGTGGTGTATAGGGGACACCATGAGGGTAATGGGGGACATTTTACCCTTTTAAGAACACTGAGGGTGGAGGTGGTGTACCTGGTGGTGTATAGGGGACACCATGAGGGTAAAGGGGGACGAAAGCATAGATCTGGCGGTGTATCTGGCGGAGTATGGGGGACACCATGGGGTATGGGGTACGCCGCACCACTTGAGTAGACAAATCGTTTGTACGTGAGGTGGATGGTGTACACGGGTAGACAATCCGTTGGTGTATGGGGTACGCCACTCGACTTGAGGAGACAAAGTGTTGGTACATGAGGTGGATGGTGTACACGGGTAGACATGCTGTTGGTACATGCGGTGTATGGGGTACGCCACACGACTTGAGTAGACAAAGTGTTGGTACACGAGGTGGATGGTGTACACGGGTAGACATACCGTTGGTACACGCAGTGTATGGGGTACATCGCACGACTTGGGTAGACATACCGTTGGTAAGGGCGGTGGATGGTGTACACCGGTAGACATACCGTTGGTACACGCAGTGTATGGGGTACAGCGGAGTTCCAGGGTAGACAAAATGTCGGTATGAGAGGTGGGTGGCGTACACCAGAGCATGGGTAGACACCTGGTCCTTTGAAGACTCAGTCCCCGAAAATGGAATTCCCGAGTCAAAAAATATACAGGCTCGACCGCGAGAGCAAAAGCCAGTTCTCCAAAATCCATGTCTACAGTGGGAATCGAACCCACGCCACCTCCTCAGGAACCGAAGGGCTGTTACCATTACACCATGCGGACATTGCAACAATGTCCCAGCTCCACCTAGGGTAAAAAGCACCCCCATACACTGAAGAAAACCAACTGTGAACCGTACCCCCTACGCTGCGCACCACGCTTCAAGGGTAGACAACTTACTCCGTTCATTCACCCAAGGCTTTGTAGGGTAGACGGTGGTGGGGCCTAGAGGGTACAGGGGTAGACAGTGGCGGCTTAGAGGGTACATGGGAGACTCCACAACCGTGTATTGGAGTAAATAAATAATACAAGCAATGAGATCGGGGTCGGCAATAGCAAGCATGATATTCAATGTTTCAAAAGCAAAGTAAAAAAAAAACGCGCCAGCAGCAGGATGCACAGAAGAAGGCGGAACCCGGAGCCCTAGTCCTCATCACTGGAGTCTTCCGTGGCGTAGGCGGCGATGTCGGTAAGACCCAAGACTTTGGGCAACTGGCTGGTCGACGCCCCGGGGGTGATGTTGGGACGGTTGCCGTTGTCGGGGAGATTCGAACGGCTCGATGATGCACCGGGGGTGAGGGTCGGAGCAGCTCGGGCGGAGGGACCTGTACCCCCCTGCGCGCCACCGGTACCCGCTCCACCACCGTCAGAGGTACCCTCTTTCCCCTTGTAGGCAGGCTTGGGGACGGGGCGTTTGGCGGGCGACTTCTGGGGAGAGTTGGAGGAACGGATCGCTGCCTTCTGCCGCTCACGCCGCTTGATCCTGCGGGTGTTCTCCGCCGTCAACTGCATGGCCAACAGGTACTTCTTGCTGTGTTTAGCCGAGAAGGGGAGGGGGGCCTTGGGGGGAGCGTCCGAGTCCGAGTCTGAGTCGGAGCCTTCGCGGTGGGTTGCCTTCGACTTCTTCTTCTTCCCACCGGCCTTCTTTTTCCCCCCCTCGCCCTCACTGTCCTCCTCGGACTCGCTCTCCTCCGCCGCCTTGCGCTTCTTTCCCCTCGCGTTCTTCTTCGCCTTCTCCCCAACGGGCACCCATTCCTCCTCTTCCTCCCTGTCGCTGTCGCTGTCGTCGCCGGAGCTGTCCGACACCACCTCTCGGCTCTTGGTCTTCTTCTTCGGCGGCGGCCCCGACTTGGTCGAGCGCGACGGGGCTGGAAAGGGCTTCCCAGCTGCTCTCGCCCGTGCACGGCGCTTCTTTTCGCGGTTGAGCCTACGGAGGTGATCTGCCAGCTCCTCCGGGTCCATGTCCTTCCGGTTCAGGCGCAGCGGCGTCAAGTCACCATCCGCCCGCTTACGCTTGCCCTTCGACTGCTGCTCCTTCTGCTCCCTCTGCTCCTTCGCCTCCTCCCGCGTAAGTCCCTTGTCGCTCCTGTCCTTCTTCCCCTTCTTCAACTTCTTCGAAACCAACTCTTTGTGCTCCGCCACCCTCCCCTCCGACATCTTCTCCCACCGACAACTTCCCGCGACAAGCGCGTCGTGCACCGGCCTGATGCGGTCGATGCTCCCGAGCACGCTCGGAGCCTGGAACGGCACGCCCTCAGGCCAGCCCACGAGCTCCACGCCATAACTGAGTCAGTTGATGAGTTATCGTGTAGAATGTCAGATAGGAATCGGTACGTACTCTGTCAGCAGGTCATCGTAGTCCCCGTACTTCATGTGGACGTGTTTCCCGGTCGCGCGGACTGTTCGCGGACATATCAGTGACGCCCGTCGTAAACCTCGGTGAAAAACTTACAAAGCCCATCGGAGATACGCGCAACGGTGTCCTTTCGGAGAAAGTCGAAGCTCCCAGCTAACCCAACTGCGTCCCGGTTGACGCCGTAGTTGTCGAACTTTACGGCGAACTGTTCGTCGGTGGTTTGGAGGATCTGGGGAAAGAATTTCAAGGCGTCCTCGGTCCCGACGCACGCCGGGTTGAGCGTGTCATTGACGTCGGAACGCCCGATGCAGCAGAACGCAATGGCACCCGTGCGTTTGTTCAACAACGCCAACTGTGAGAGGTATCAGCCAGTAATGAATTAACAGCCGAAATGGAAGTAAATGAATACGTACCTCCCGGTTGACGAATTTGGTGAAGGCCGTGACGTCTCGGGCGGCCGCCGCGTTATTCAGACGAGTCCCCGACTTCTTGAGCCCCCGCGACTCCTCGAACTCCTGCAGCAGCTCGTCCTCCTCCACCGGGGTGAGATCCTCAAACAGCCCCCGCTCTTTCAGCAGCTTTTGCAGGGCGGGCGCTTTGAGCTTGCTGCCCACTGGACGGTCTGCATGAGGAAAAGGTTAGTACTTTGGTCAACGCGACTCGTGTTCGACGTACCGGCGTTTTCCGATTGGGCGAACTTCCAGACTTTGGCGTTCTGGAGGTTGTGCGCCCGTTCTTTAACCAGACTGGTCTTCCCCCGCAGCGCCTTCCTGACCTCCTGCGGCGTCTTGTCAAATTGCTTTGCCAGCTTGTTCGCCGTCTCCTGCATCGAACTCTCGAATTCAGCGATCGCCGCCTCGTACTGCCCCTTCAAGTCCCCGTTCACGGCACGCTTCAACTCCGCTGCGTTCTTCTCCGCCTCTGACTGGTCGGGACGAGGCGGAAGTTCTCGACCAGGGTGTTTCGGGGCGTCGGGATTTCGTTCCCTCCAAGATCCACCTAGGAGATTCACCTCTGATGCAGCACGGTGGGGATCAGCAACGATTGTTTTGGGGTTTTGATCCTCCGGGGTGACGGCGGTGGCCTTGGTGGTGGGGGGGTACGCCTCCGTCCGGGGTGGGGGGTACGCCTCCGTTCGGGGTGGGGGGTACGCCTCCGTTCGGGGTGGGGGGTACGCCTCCGTCCGGGGTGGGGGGTACGCCTCCGTCCGGGGTGGGGGGTACGCCTCCGTCTGGGGTGACGGTCTTGGTCGTGTCGTTGGGCGGCGTGTCGCTGGGCGGCGGGGGCGGCAAGTCGTTGGGCGGCGGGGGCGGCAAGTCGCTGGGTGGCGGGGGCGGCAAGTCGTTGGGTGGCGGGGGCGGCAAGTCGTTGGGCGGCGGGGGGTAAGTCGTTGGGCGGGCGGGGGTAAGTCGTTGGGCGGCGGGGGCATGTCGTTGGGCGGTGGGGTGACGGTAAAGTCGTTGGGCGGCGGGGTGGCGGTAAAGTCGTTGGGCGGCGGGGGCGGTGTGTCGTTGGGTGGCGGGGGGCGACAAGTCCTTGGGCGGCGGCTCCTGGTTCTCTGGGGTCTTGTCGTGCGGGCGGTCACCGCGCCGAGCGAAGATCTTGTCGAAGTCCTCCTCCTCCCGGGGCTCCTCATCCTTGTCGCCGCGGGGGGGGAAGATCTTGTCAAAGTCTTCATCCTCGTCGGCGTGGGGGGGGGGATGCTGTCGTTGTCCTCCTCCTCGCGTGACTCGTCTGGATTCTGGTCGCCGTCCTCGGTCTCCGCGCCGTCCTGTTCCGTATCATCTTGCTGCTGGTCGACCTCAGGTGTAGCGGCCTTTTTCTTCGCCGGACCCCTTTTTTTTGCCTCTCCCTTGTTTGTTCTTCGCGGGGGCGTTGGACTTGGCGGTGGTTTTGGCCTTGCCGGAGGCGGCGGCACCTCTCACAGGTCTGGTCGTTTGGGAGCGGCGCTGCATCTCTATTGCGCAGTCAGTTTCTCGCTCAACATTGCGCGAGATGGCACTTACGATTTCTACTGAGCGTGGGTTTGTTCTTGGTTCAAAAAGTGGATGGTGCGTGGCTGGACTAGCGTTCAGTTTTCATTTCGTCGCGTCAAATGCCACTCACTTTTTATTTCGCCAGGCGCGGCCTTAACACACGGATTTACGCAGGGCCGACTCTAGGTTGTAGGTCAGTGTTAGTCGTTGGTCGTGAGTGCGACTCACTTTAGGGTGTGGGTGACGTGGTGGCGGGGAGTTGGTGGTGGAAGACAAAGGCGGGTCACCTTTGTGACACAACAAGCCACGTGCACGCGCACGGATGTACCTCACACCACAACGACTTCCGTGTACCCTCCACCACACGTCAGCATTTAACCACAAAGTGGGATTGTACCCTCTTATGTCCCCCACCACCGCGAATAATCGGTAAACTCAAGATTCATCTAATCGGCAAAAATTCATTCAATTCAAAGCAGAGCAAAAGAACAACGGCAGGTCAAGGTATTCAGCATAGTAGATTTTTTTTTTCTCGCCTCTCCCTCAGTCAGGCGTCGTCCCGCGGGCGGTTCTCGGTGCGTGGGTCGAAGCGGTCCTCAGGCTCCACCCAGTCAAGGAGGATCTCCGCAAGCTCGTCGTCGCCGAGGGTCTCGTAGAGCGCGTCGCTCTCATTCCCATCCAACGGTCCCTTCCCTTTCAAGTTTGACTTGGGGGTTCTCTCAGCCACCCGGCCACCAATTTTGATCGGGGTCGAAAACCCGGATGCCTTGAAGGGTTTGGAGGGAGTGGGGGTCGTGGGGGTGGAGACAGAGGAGGTCGAAGACGAGGGTTTGAAGCGGGGCGGCTTGAAGGGCGATGGCTTGGAAGGGAATGGGGTGGACGCGAGATACTCGCTGATGATCGTCCGACGTTTGGATGCCAGCTCCCGCTCCTTCTCCTCCTGGATGCGTTCCGAGACGGCTACCGCTTCGATGGCCGCCAGACGCGAAGCTTTGGCGCGCTGTTTTTTTTCCTTTTCCTCTTTTGCTGCGACGACGCTGGCCTCGATGGCTGCAAGACGGCTGGCGGTGGCCGCCTCCCTCTGCGCGGCAGGGGAATCAGCGGCCATGGCAGCCTTCTTCTTCACGGCAGGGGAATCGGCGGCAGGAGCGGGGCTGACCGGGTAAGCCACACCACCACCAGGGTGCGGCGAGGCGGGGAACAACCGATCGATCACGAGTCTCGGAGCTGGTTTCAAGGGCGAGTCGTTCGGCCGTCCATTCGTTGGCGCCCCGTGCAAAATACAGCGCCTGAAAAAATCTTACTACTGATTTTTGTGATTTATAGATGAAACTCACCTTCATGTAGTTCTGGGTGGCGAGCAACTCAGCCTTGTCGCCGTCGCTCTGCACCTTCTGGTAATGCGCCACCGCGGCGCCAAGGTCACTGTAAATCGTCTCTCCGCCCCGGAC